AAGGCGGCCGGCCCCGGGGGCCACATCTTCCCGTAGATGACGCTCTTGTCCATGGGCGCCTTGCCCGGCTTGGTTCGCTGCGCCATCGGAATCGAGGCGGGCCACTTCACAAAGACGTCCCGCTTGTAGCCCTCATCGAAGGCGCGGTAGCCCGGTTTGTCGCCCTGAATTACCGGATCGGTGCTGCAAAAGAGAATTGAAGAATTAGCTTTCTTCGAAAGCAAACCAAAGCTGTAATTTCATACATGACCACCCAGTAGAAGCCATTCTTCGCCTTGGTCTCCTTCATGTACTCGGGCAGGCCCTTGAAGCGCGTGTGGTCGTAGGTGAAATCGCGGTACTCGTCCTGTGCAAAAGTGCAAAGATTTTGATGGATACATTTTGACAGTTTTAAAAGTGAAAAAGACGTACCATGTAATCAATGTCCAGGTAGTTGACGTCCTGAAGCAAAAGTGGTCAGCATGTTACAGTGTGAGTACAGAACTTGCTTCTAGCACTTACAATGGGCACGTGGTTGTTGATGTTTCGGTTGATCACCTTCTGCATGTGCGTCAGATTCTTGTAGCCGTATCGACTCAGCTGGAATCCCAGGCCCCAGAAGGGCGGCATCACCGGTCGACCGACCACCGAGGTGTACAGCTGAACGACGTGCTCGGGGCTGTCGCCGACAAAGACGAAGAAGTCGAGGATGCCGCCGAGGGCCTTGATGGAAAGGGCCGGCGTGGGCATTGTGGTGAAAGCTAATAAAAACAAAAGGTTTTCGGTGAGATTTAAAAGACGTAAACAAACGGCGATCCTTCAGCCTACCCATAGCATTGCTGTTCAGGAGGAAAATGCCGTGAGCCTTGCCGTCCTGCTCGACGACAGTGTAGAACGGGTGCACGCCGTACAGATCTCGATCTCGCTAGAATTTAACAAAGCTTGATAAAATTGTAGGCAGAGAAAAGGCATCTTCATCATCATCATTACCGTCGGAGCACGGCCATTGGTGAAGAGCGGATGCGTCTTGTAGTTAAAGTCGTGCTTGAAGGAGGTCTCGTAGTTTTCGCCCATTCCGTAGACGTCAGTGCTGGCGACCTTCGTCACAAACTGCAGAAAGTGCTCGCTGTAGATGAGGCCACCCAGAGAGGTGTCGATCCTGGATGATGAACAAGATAGTGAAAGGTGATATCAACTTATCAACCTTCTATTTCTCTGTTTACTCACATCTTGACGCTGCTGCTGCCCTTTCGGCTGACCACCAAGTGGAAGCTGGCCGCATCGGCCTCCAGGGCCACCTCGTACTTTGCACTGGCGGCGTTTCCGCTCGTTTTCGGCAGCGTCAGCTCCTCTCCGAGAGGCACCTCATAGCGCTTGTGTGCCGGATCGGTCATTCGGATGCGGAGAATGGCGTCGGAGAGGTGGGTCACCTCCAGCTTCACCTTCTCAATCGGCGCAAAGGGAAGGGAGTGATGGGAGAGAGGCTTCACCTGAAGCAGTGCCTCCAGGTCGCCTGAGGCGCCTGCCTTCTTGTGGACGCTCTCCTTGACGGTGGTGTAGCCCACCTGGGCGGTGTCCAGGAAGCAGGCGGGAATTCGCGGTGCCAGTGGATCGGAGATGGGAAGCCAGAGGCAGCCTCGCTCGTGGCACTTCTTCTGGTCGGTTGCCTTCTCTGGTGGAATGGGGAAAGAAGTGTGTTAGGAAATGTTGTCAATAAACAAACACAATAAACAAACTCACCGTTGAGAAGACAGTCCAGTCGGTGCTCAGTGGCGTCGCCGCTGACCGAGCTGAAGGAGGCGGCTGCTGCCACCAGCAGAAAGCAGACCACCGCCAAAGGTGGTGAAAATAAGAGGATCATCTTTTTTAATGGTGCTTTTACGTGGCCTTGTTTAGCCAAAGAGGTAGGACACCCATTGACTTGCATAATGTCAAAAATCAGCTTTATTTATATTGGATTTTACTGTTTAATTAGTGGTATTGAGGAATTCGCTCTTAAAAAGTCCTGATTAGATTGAGCCTATCTGCTGCTGCTGTTTTGTGCTACTATGTTATCATTGCCACCGGGACCACTTTAAAACGGCAAACCTAAAACACACTCCCGACTTGATTGATTGAGAGGGAAAAAGACAGGTGAGATAAACAGTAGTTGAAAATTACATAATCTAGAGTTTTGTAAAAAGAATAGATAATCAGACTTTGTGCTTGGCAACGAGTAAACAAAACTTACCTGGTGTTACTTAGCTTTAGCAAAAAGTAAATATGTGAAGGTTAAAAGGCGGCGTACGGGACGAGGTGGGGAGAAGAACGGTCGAAATGAGAGATAGAATATGTCGAGACCAAAAGAAGTTTAGCTAGCACATCGGGAAATGTTCCCGGCAGCAAAGTTAGTTTGGTT